CTCTTCTGCAGACTAAACAATCCCAGTTCCCTTGCCTTTACTCATAACTCATGTGTTCCAGTCCCCTAATCATTTTTGTTACCCTTCGCTGAACTCTTTCCAATTTTTCCACATCCTTCTTGTAGTGTGGGGCCCAAAACTGGACACAGTACTCCAGATGAGGCCTCAACAATGTCAAATAGAGGGGAACGATCACATCCCTCAATCTGCTGGCAATGCTCCTACTTATACGTCCCAAAATGCCATTGGCCTTCTTGGCAACAAGGGCACACTGTTGACTCCTATCCAGCTTCTCGTCCACTGTAACCCCTAGGTCCTTTTCTGCAGAACTGATGCCGAGCCATTCGGTCCCTAGTCTGTAGCAGTGCATAGGATTCTTCCGTCCTAAGTGCAAGACTCTGCACTTGTCCTTGTTGAACCTCATCAGATTTCTTTTGGCCCAATCCTCTAATTTGTCTAAGGCCCTCTGTATCCTATCCCTACCCTCCAGTGTATCTACCTCTCCTCCCAGTTTAGTGTCATCTGCAAACTTGCTGAGGGTGCAATCCACACCATCCTCCAGATCATTTATGAAGATATTGAACAAAACCGGCCCCAGGACTGACCCTTGGGGCACTCCACTTGATACCGGCTGCCAACTAGACATGGAGCCATTGATCACTACTCGTTGAACCCGACAATCTAGCCAACTTTGTATCCACCTTATAGTGCATTCATCCAGCCCATACTTCTTTAACTTGCTGGCAAGAATACTGTGGGAGACCGTATCAAAAGCTTTGCTAAAGTCAAGGAACAACACGTACACAGCTTTCCCCTCATCCACAGAGCCAAGTTATCTCGTCATAGAAGGCAATTAGATTAGTCAGGCATGACTTGCCCTTGGTGAATCCATGCTGACTGTTCCTGATCACTTTCCTCTCCTCTAAGTGCTTCAGAATTGATTCCTTGAGAACCTGCTCCATGATTTTTCCAGGGACTGAGGTGAGGCTGACTGGCCTGTAGTTCCCAGAATCCTCCTTCTTCCCTTTTTTAAAGATGGGAACTACATTAGCCTTTTTCCAGTCGTCCGGGACTTTCCCCGATCGCCATGAGTTTTCAAAGATAATGGCCAATGGCTCTGCAATCACATCCGCCAACTCCTTTAGCACTCTCGGATGCAGCGCATCCGGCCCCATGGACTTGTGCTCGTCCAGCTTTTCTAAATAGTCCTGAACCACTTCTTTTTCCACTGAGGGCTGGTCACCTCCTCCCCATGCTGTGCTGCCCAGTGCAGTAGTCTGGGAGCTGACCTTGTTCGTGAAGACAGAGGCAAAAAAAGCCTTGAGTACATTAGCTTTTTCCACATCCTCTGTCACTAGGTTGCCTCCCTCATTCAGTAAGGGGCCCACACTTTCCTTGACTTTCTTCTTGTTGCTAACATACCTGAAGAAACCCTTCTTGTTACTCTTAACATCTCTTGCTAGCTGCAACTCCAGGTGTGATTTGGCCTTCCTGATTTCACTCCTGCATGCCCAAGCAATATTTTTATTATCTTCCCTGGTCATTTGTCCAATCTTCCACTTCTTGTAAGCTTCTTTTTTGTGTTTAAGATCAGCAAGGATTTCACCGTTAAGCCAAGCTCGTCGCCTGCCATATTTACTATTCTTTTTACACATCTGGATGGTTTGTCCCTGTAACCTCAATAAGGATTCTTTAAAATACAGCCAGCTCTCGTGGACTCCTTTCCCCCTCATGTTATTTTCCCAGGGGATCTTTCCCATCAGTTTTCTGAGGGAGTCAAACTCTGCTTTTCTGAAGTCCAGGGTCCGTATTCTGCTGCTCTTCTTTCTTCCCTGTGTCAGGATCCTGAACTCGACCATCTCATAGTCACTGCCTCCCAGGTTCCCATCCACTTTAGCTTCCCCTACTAATTCTTCCTGGTTTGTGAGCAGCAGGTCAAGAAGAGTTCTGCCCCTCGTTGGTTCCTCCAGCACTTGCACCAGGAAATTGTCCCCTACACTTTCCAAAAACTTCCTGGATTGTCTGTGCACCGCTGTATTGCTCTCCCAGCAGATATCAGGGTGATTGAAGTCTCCCATGAGAACCAGGGCCTGCGATCTAGTAACTTCCATGAGTTGCCAGAAGAAAGCCTCGTCCAGCTCATCCCCCTGGTCTGGTGGTCTACAGCAGACTCCCACCACGACATCACCCTTGTTGCTCACACTTCTAAACTTAATCCAGAGACTCTCAGGTTTTTCTGCAGTTTCATACTTGAGCTCTGAGCAGTCATACTGCTCCCTTACACACAGTGCAACTCCCCCACCTTTTCTGCCCTGCCTGTCCTTCCTGAAAAGAAGCAAGATGATGGACTTGTATCACATGGGGATGATGAAGTACTTGCCAGTCCATTATTAATTAAGGAGGATGTTAAACATTTTTAAATCAACAGGCTCAGATAACTTGCCGCCAAAAATCCTAAAAGAGTTGGCTGATGAGATCTCTGGCCTACTGATGTTCATTTTTAATACAGTTTGGAATATGGGGAAAATTTCAGAAGGCTGGTTATGCCTGTATTCAAAGAGGGCAAGCAAGATGACCCAAATAACTGCAGGTTGGGAAAAATACTGGGAAAAACTGATACAGGATTCAACTGATAAATTAAAGGACAGGAATATAATTAAGGCCAGTCAACATGGTTTGGTGGAAAATAAGTATTGTCAAACAAACCTCATTTCATTTTTTGATGAGATTGCAAGTTGCATTGATAAACGTAACTGCATAGGTGTAATATACTTAGGGCTTGTCTATACAGGGAAAAACCCAGAATATATATTGCACAATAGGTATTGCTGAATAGCTATTCCTCAATAGTTTGCTGTGTGAACACACTTACTCTGCATTAAGAGTGCCTTTGTGTGGTTTACCTTAATCCACTTTGGAATTGGATCCACTTTGGCAGTGGATAAACCTAAACCATAAATAGACACTCTTAGTGTGTAATAAGAAGGTCCACACAGGAACTTAGTGTGGAATAGCTATTGCACTTTAAATTCACACCTTAGCTTTATTCTGCATGTTGACAAGCCCTTAGACTTTTGTAAGGCATTTGATTTAATACCACACAACATTTTGATTAAAAAATCAGCACTATACAATATCAACAAAGCACACGTTAAATTGATTAAGAACTGGCTAACTGATAGATCTCAAAAAGTAGTAGTCAATGGGGAATCATCATCAAATTGGTGTGTATTTTTAGTGGGGTTTCACAGACATAGGTACTAGACCCAATACTTTTCAAAATTTTCATTGATGATCTGGAAGTAAATATAAAATCATTGCTGATAAAATTTGCAGATGATACAATGATTAGCAGAGTGGTAAATAATGATGAGGGCAGGGCAGTTATACTGAATAATCTGGATCACTTGGTAGACTGGGCCAATTCAAGCAATGTGTGTTTTAATACAGCCAAATGCAAAATTATACATCTAGGAACAAGGAATGCTGATCACACCTGCAGAATGGGGGACCATATCCTCGAAAGTAGAGACTCTGAAAAGGATTTAGGGATCACAGTGGACAAGCAACTGAACATGAACTTTCAGTAATGCTGTGGGGAAAAAAAGACTAATGCAATTCTTGGATGTATAAACAGGGAAGTAGTGAGTAGGAGTACGGAGCAGAGATGACATGGTATTTACCAGAAGTGCATTTTACCTGGTAAAATCATGGGGAAAACTAGTTAGTCACAGTTTAAGGCATTTTCTATTTTAAAAAAGGTTTCATTAATGCACACTACATTCTACTTAGTTTTAGTTACATATTCAAGTTGTGGTGTCATAAAGCAGTAGATTTGTAGATTAATTTAGAGTTGTACAAATAAAATGTAAACCTGCAGTGAGTGTAATACTAATATATATAATTATAATACTGAACATTTGACTGTCTATACATTCTGGTTTGGAATTTTCTCAAGGAAGTTGTACAGGTCATGACTCATTTCAGTTTTCAATATTATATAAACAGAAGTCAAAAACATTTGATTATATGAAAATGACAATAATGCAGAGTTGAAGCATTAAGCAATCAGAAGCATGCAGAGTTGCAAACTACTAGTCCGGGTCCACTTGGCCATACAGCATTCTGTAGCAGAAGACCAACTTTGAGGTAGTGGATAGACCGCACCTATTCCTCAGTTTTGAATGAATGTATTCAAAGTTTGAAAAGATTCGTTCTGTGCTTGCTGAACTTGCTGGCCACTGATGCCATTATTTTTCACAGTTTAACCCAGGTTTAAGCTAGTATGTACCCTGTCCTAAACTAGTTTTTCCCTGGAAATTGCCAACCCTGGTAGAGAGGTGGTTTTACCTCTGTACATGGCATTGCTGAGATAAGTACTTGAATACCATATCCAGTTCTGGTGTCCACATTTTTTAAAATGATGTTGGAGAATTGGAAAGGCTGTGGAGAAGAGCCACAAATTTGAGAGCTGGAGAAAATGCTTTACAGTGAGAGATTTATCAGTGAGAGAGCTTATCAAAAAGAAGACTGAGTGGTGATTTGATTATGGTGGATAAGTAACCTTCACGTGGGAGAAAATGCTGGGTACTCAAGGGCTCTTTAATCTAGAGAAAGACAGAACAAGAACTGGAAGTTGAAGCCAGACAAACTCAAATTAGAAATAAGGCACAAAATTGTAACAGTGAGGGTGATTAACCACTGGAATAAACTACCAGCGGTGGATTCTCCATCCCATATCAGTGCTGAATACCTGTCTAGAAGATATGCTTTAGTCAAACACAAGTTATTGGGCTCAATACAGGGATCAGTGGATGAAACTGAATGGTCTGTTCTATACAGAGGTCAGTCTAAATGATCTAAAGGCCTGTTACGGCTTTAAGTTTTATGAATCTATGACACACACTCCTTCCTTTGCTGAACTCTCATGTAAAACCCCTTATAGCACTGTTTAAAGTGATGGAAGCAAGGAATCCTGACTGGATGTTGTGTCCCCGCAGGGAATGAGGTGATTGCAGTGGACTGGAAGGGATTGAAAGATGTGGATCAGATCAATATGGACAGCACCAGCTCATTGCATGGCAGCAGCATCCACCGACCCTCCACTGAGGTGAGTGCCCATCCTATGCTCAGGGGGAGAAGACTAGAAAGTCTCAACCCCACTGAATACATATAAAGAGTCTGGGGTCACCAACCTCAGCTGGGAAAGGCACAAAAGTCTTACTTGCACTAAAGACTTTGGGGCATCAATTTTCAGAAGGATCAGGGGATAGCCGTGTTAGTATGTATCCACAAAAACAACAAGGAGTCCTGTGGCACCTTAAAGACTAACAGATTTATTTGGGCATAAGCTTTTGTGGGTAGAAGAAGTGAGTTTTTTACCCATGAAATCTTATGCCCAAATAAATCTGTTAGTCTTTAAGGTGCCACTGGACTCCTTGTTAATTTTCAGAAGTGAAAGCTTTGATTTTCAGTTCCTAGAGTAGAACATTAAAAGTAGCTCAGGGTGAGTCTGAAAACCATTTCAGTCTGAATTGCTTGAGTGCTGGCTTAGATGGGAGGCCCTGGCATAGAACAGATCTACACTGTTGTGGGGAAATAAATGCAGTGGAAAAATTAACCACGCATTGTGTTTGGATCAGAACCAAGCCTGAGACCTGCTTTATTTAAGTATGCACCTACAGAGAGAGTCAGCCGGAGCTGCTCTGCCATGAACAGAAAATACAGGAGTTTATATAACCACAGATTGAAAACCACAATCTGTTAAGCACATTTCCTTCAACAGCATTTTCCTTATTTGGCATATAGTGCAAGCTTCAAAGGTAGCTTTGCCTTATTTGGAAAAAAGCAAAACAAGTTTTACCTGTTATTGACACGTGCTTCCTTTGTGGTTAACGGTCTTTTCTAACTTCAAGCGGTTGTGGTTACATTTTTAAGCTGAGCTGTTGCTATCTGCCTCTTAATAGAATTTTCCTCACCCTCTTCTTTTGCTTTATACACACAGTTAACTTGACCAAAGTTTTAGGCCTATTAGTTTAGGCCCATTAGATTTTTCTTCCACATTCCCCCCTTTGGTGCCATTTTTTTTTTTGGCACCACTAATTGGGCCTAAACTTCCATAGCCATCAGCCTGTTAATTTCCTCCTTTTCGTTCTCATGTTCTTTTGCCCAAGCAGTGTCATACATTTCATTTACAATCATTAGTGCCACCTGCTTCCTTGCACCGAGGCTGTCAGGTTTAGGGCTGGACAGGCAATGGTAAATACATCTTTTATAACAACAATAACACAATCCTATGCTAAACAGCAGTAAAAGCAACAACATTCCCATGGCGATAATATGATGTGGTTGGGATTGTCGAATAGCTTTAGTTACAAAACACAATACATCAGTTTTGGTACAAAAAGTAGACATTCTATAGGCAGTATAAAAGGCATTTTTTTCAGCTTGATATATATTTTGGAGCACGTAAATTTGTCCCTGTAATTCGGAAATTTTCTGAACCTTAGGTAAAATTGAAAGCAAATTTTGGAATTGGTCAGGTACTAAAGCAGTCCAGTTAAAGGGTATCTGGAACCTGAGGGCTAATTGTACAGTGTTATCCGCAGGCCAATAAATGACATGATTGCCTGCGGCTGTGGTGAGATTAAAATGTACGTCATTCAAGGTGGTGGTCTCAACATGCACATAGCTATTATTAGTTTGGAAAAGTAAGTGTCCTGTCAGGATAATTCTGTGTCCCATACCCTCCCAACAAATGTTGTCACGAATGGTAACAACCTCTCCTGATTTTAGTTTACGTACACACTGAAGTTGAGGGGGTTCTAACGGCCAAAGTGTCCATTGGTTTCCAACCCCTAGCCAAATGTCGGGTGTTACTCCAGGAGCACTGACTACGAATTGGTTGGGCAGACCAGGTAGTTTAAGTTCCCAAATGAATTATCCAGTCCCACATGCATCCTCCCCACGGACCCAGCAGGATTCAGTAGGTGGGAGCCCATATCCCTTTGATTGGCCTGTAGGCTTGGAAGGAGCACTGTGAACATCTGCATTTCCACGCAGAAAATCTCCAAGTATGTCTCCACGGCCACAGATTAGGTGGAACTCCTGAGGTATTTGTAAGGGCAGTAGGCCATGCCTGATGTTCAAGATCCCTTTGAATGGCCATAAGCTGGTCATTCAGAAAATCCTGAACCTCCAAACAAGCCAGATCCCACTGTAATACCTTTCCAGCGTTGGTGATACCCAGTACCATTTCTGTTAACAGCTTTTGAGTCATTGAACTAAGGGCGGAGATAACGCGTAATTCGCCAACACTGGCCTGAACCTGGGCTAGCTGTGCTCCAGTAATAAGGCCCATGGCTTTTTCCAACTGTCCCAATTTTTCCTCATGTTGCTGACCTTTATAGATATTCCAGACTGCAGCTACGCTATTTGCCCCATCCCATAGGTGTCCGGCTAAGTCCCTCCTTTTTCTAGCGGAAATCCAGGTCCGTTGCTGTGCCAGTCGAATGGCAGCTTCTTTTGAACAATTAGGATATATACAGGTAATCTGAAAACTAGATAAGGGTAGTGTAAATTTTACAGTCCCTAATGTAGCATTAATTACAGTCCATCGAAACTGCAACCCATCTCTTTTTGATGAAGTATTATACCACATTTGATGGCTGAACACCTGTATATACTTTTGAGAGGCCTCAGCATCAATATCGTAGGACGGGGTGTACTGCAATATAGTGCAGTTTAAATTAGTAGTTATTGGGACATATTCAGTACAGGAAATTTTTTCAGCAGAGGAGCAAACTTTTGGGGTATTTGTTTGATTATTTACTAGTTGGGTAACCAAATAACAATAAGGGCCTTTTTGATTTATCAGGCTACAAACTCCGGGAATGGCCATCATATCTGTCCCGCCATGGGCCCCATCAATTTCAATTTTCAACTTTTGGGGCTCAGTGGCGGTGATATCATATATTTCTATTTCCACCACCCCATCTGTTCTCCACTCAATCATTCGCTTATATGAACGGTCCTGAACCTTGAAAAATAATTTCTCTGAGCAAAATTTCCATAAATCACTTAAATGTGAAGGTTTTGGCCATTGGGCTTCATTTGAATATATGGTATCGTCTACATTTGGGTAGGTTGTGGGGGCAGTGGTGAGGTTAATGGAGGAAGGGATGGTGGGTTTGGTGGTTGTGGTAGCAAGGCATTTTTGATATTCAGTGTCTGGAAGCCAATTAGGGAGGGCAGTGCAAGGTGAAGGCACTTGTCCAAAAACACAGGGCGCAGCCTGTGGAATAAACCCCAATACCCAATTAATACCACATTCCCAAGAATGGGACCCACAGGTTCCTCCTTGCCAATTTACAACATTCCATCTTTTCCACCAGGGCCAGTTCTTAATGTCTTTTGTGGTCAGAAATTCTTGTACCTTGGCTTCAGCAGAGCGGATGTTCCTTTTCCTTTCTTGGAATCTCCGTGGTTTAGCATCATATAAGGGAGAGGTTACTGGCACTTTATTCGGTTCTTTGGAGGGGTTGTTTATTGGTAAATTGCTGGTGGCTTTGTGCATCCAAAGGAACATATCAGTATCATGAAAATTCAGCAATAGTAGCAAGAACATAGTTCCACATACGAACCAAACAGAAGGCATCAGCCATTTTTGCATCATGGCTGATTCCTTTATTCTGACCGCGGGGTCAGTCATGGCAGTCGGGTGCCAGTGGGTACTAGGCTCTCCACTGGACTTCTAAAGGCTTTGTTTTGGCCTTTGATCTCTGTTGTCCCCTTTACCAGCAGGCCTGAAGCCTTAACTGGCTATAAGGGCAAATCACTAGAGGTATCACTGTCTCTTCTTGAGGTAGTACCTAGGTTCCCTTTTGGGGCCTGAAGCAGGGTTGTCGTCACGGCCACTCTCGTTGCTTTCAGGAACTGGGTCTGGCGGTTGGAAATCCTCAGCGTCTGGGTTCAAGGGTGGCTTTATTTTCTTGCAGTGGGAGGTGTGTATCCAGTTGACGAGTCCCTTACACTTGACCGCTGTATGGGTGGTCAATAGGATCTGGTAGGGGCCCTTCCAACAGGGTTCCAAAGAAGTCTTTCTTTGATATACCTTAATATAAACCCAATCTCCAGGCTGAAGGGGGTGGCACGGTGTGTCAGCTGGTTCCACCAGGGCACTTTGGACCTGTGAGTGGATAGACCTAATGCAATGAATTAGCGTTTGACAGTATGTTATAACAGTATCATCGTTTAGTTGCAAGTCCAACTGACAAGGGAGTGGGGGAGAGGATGCCGGCATACGCATGGGTCTGGCCGTAAGGATTTCATATGGGGATAGGCCATTTTTGCTTGCAGGTGTGCTTCTCATATACATGAGAGCAAGGGGTAGGGCATCAAGCCATTTAAGGCTTGTTTCGGCACAGATCTTAGAGATTTTGTTCTTTAGTTCCCCATTTTTGCGCTCAACCGCCCCTGCACTCTGGGGGTGATGAGCACAATGAAAGTGTTGGGTGATGTTAAGAGCCTTGCAAATCTGTTGCATGATTTGGCCTGTGAAATGGGTACCTCATTCACTGTTAATAGAGAGAGGTAGACCAAACCGAGGAATAAAATCCCTCAACAATTTTTTTGCTACGATGAGGGAATCAGCCTTGGCACAAGGGTAGGCCTCTATCCAACCAGAATAAACACAGACACAAACAAGAACATATTCATAAGAACAACATTTCAGCATGTTGATAAAATGGATTTGCATATTTACAAAAGGTCCCCATGGAGTGGGGTGTGCAGCGGGTTTTTTCTGAACTGGTCTGCCACTATTGTGGGCTCAGCAGGTCGGACAAGAATTGCAGTACTGCTGTGCCATAATGGAGAAATTTGGGGCATACCAATGACGCAGTACTGAAGCGATCATCCCCCCTTTGCTCACATGCGCCAATCCATGGGACACACGGACAAGATAGAGGAGCACAGCCTTGGGCGCCACCAAGCGGCCATCTGGGGAGCACCACAAGGCATCCGGATGCAAAGTACATCCATCCCGCCTCCATCCGTCCTTCTCTGGTTCTGGGGACGAATCTTGCATAAGAGCTAAATCTTGGAGAGAGG